GGTATAAAATAGGCCTTCCCTACTGTGTATCAAGGTAGCTATTTGCAGACAGCAGATAAAACCTGATTCATGTCATGCAAATAATAGGTTAGGTAGAGATCTTCATTACTTGGGACATGCACCTATCTATTCACTGGAACATGTTACATAGCAGTGTCTAGGTCCTGCCAAGTGAGAAGATAGAAGGATTTCTTACAATGGAACAGAACATACCGTAAAATTTTGTATGTTTCACTTCAGATATGAATCAGATTATATGTAGAATGAAATCTATGATCTAGCCAAGACTCTGTATTTTGTGGAACACACAGAAAAAGGAACCTTTTCAACTACACACCTTTATTACAGTAAACTATAAATTGGTTTGTTTAAAAATTCAAGCATATCCTTTCCTTATATAGTGCTACCCATTCCACAAGAGAAAAAAAATTAACAGTGCTATTCTCCACTGACAAAAACTGAAGCAACATAGCCTCCCAAGTTTATTTTTTATTAGCTAACCACTTTCAGCACAGACTGACATTTGTGTCAGCCTAATGCACCTTATCTGAACCTTAAATGAGCCTCAAGTCATACTAATACACTATTTTTCTCTTGTTTGTCTAAATGGTCAAATACTTATAGAGAAAAGCATTTCTCGTTTTACAATCAATTTTTGGATCTAAAAACATGAGTGCAGTTTTTAAAAAAGTGAATCACATTAAGCTTTTGAAAATTCCCTCCAACAATAAAAACAGTTTCTTCGCACTTTGTGTTTTTCAGATATCATGCCCAGACTATGAAAGGTCAATATTAACAGCCTCTTAGCACTTAACCCTCTTGCCTCAATACATTCACTCTATTTCTATCTTCTCTTCTGGAGAATTCTTAGGCTACACAGAAATCAGGGACTTGACACTTGTGATTAATTCAATGAGATGGGCTCATGGGCTGATATGAATGTTCTTGCTGTTTTTAGATGAAAAGTGAGGGTGGCAGTGAGCCAGCATGTTACATGCCTGACCATGCTTGGTCCTCAGTCAACTTTCTTCTCATATCATGAGGTTGTTTTTTTTTTTACATGACCAATTACCTGTTTTGAGGCAGGGATTGAACTCTCTGCTAGTCCGGGGAGGCTGGCAGGCCTCCGGGGATGTCTGTGCTGGAAGGGTTCGATACTGAGGAGTCAACTCTTCATCACCAGAGAAGCTCCTCCATACCCCACCTGTCATGAGGCCGCTCGACAAACTGACAGGCTTCTTCCCAACTGGTATCTTCCTCTCTAAACATCAAGTCAAACTAAAGTAAAACACTTATATCAGTGCATTGAGGTAACGCAAGACTAAGCACTCACTGAGAATGGCCTCCACTTGGTGCTTCTCTTACTGTATAGGTCCTAATCTCCATCAATAAAAGCCAAGGGGATTCACTTAGAAGTTAACTCTGGTGATTTGTGGCAAAATCAAAAGATTCTACGAGGCATCCATCTGTTACCATGTGTTATGTTTTCACCTTACCTTACATCTCTAACAAAAAACTATTTAATTCTCTTAATCACCTATACCAGTATTTCTCAACCTTGGCAACTTTACGATGAGTGAGCTTCAACTCCCAGCATTCCCCAGCCAGCATGAGTTGAAGTCCACTCATCTTAAAGTTGTCAAGGTTGAGAAACATTGAGCCATATCTCTGATTTAACATTGCTGAGTTAAAACTGACAAACCAACTCCAGATATAAAAAAATCCCATTCTTGTCCCCTTTTAATGCTTTCAGAATAGTACAAACAAGGAACTAATGTCATAACAAAGATTGCTCTCAATATCAATTAAGTGATATGCAATATGAGCAATAATTATTGTCTTAATCAAGTTTCACATACTATTGCGTGACTGTATCTGTTCATAGTCTGTTTTGAGGCAGACTAGACAAATTCATTACTATAGAGAATATATAAGTAACTGGGATGACAGAAGGGTAAGAAAAGTATTAAGATATGTATTTGGTATCAAAATTAAAATTGAGAATATCGCTCTTAGTCATTTGTACTTTAATTCAAACTGGCTTCATACCATGAAGAGCTAAAACATACAAACCCCAAACAGATACTTTGAATTTTAATTTTTAGACTCCAAAGTCCAGGTGTACAAGATTTCAACAAAAGTGATAACCATTTTTTTCTCCTCAGGAAAAAAGCATCCTCTCTTGAACTAGAATGGGACTGTCAGCACTTCTCAGGCTGTTAGAAATGCTATAGTGCAGGCACCATTTTTTCCAGTATTTTTGCACAAGTCGGCTTTACAGAAATTACTTGCTCACCTATCCTCTGAATTCAATTAGCTTTTACTTTCTAATCTCAAAGGTGTTTAGGCTGTCTGGGAACAATATTCTGATTGCAGACCTTATAACCCTGGATTGTAAAAAGGGTGGCTTCATCACCCAACCCCACCCTCATTATCCTTAGTACAAAGAAAAAGGCATGGTTAGCAGGCCTGAGGGATACCCTCCTTCTTAACACTGTTTGGTGTAAAAAAAATCACAGTTATGAATTCCATCTTAAAATTGTTTGATGCTAAATCCTGAAAGTAATTATTACTACATTTGAATAAGTTTTTAAGATTTATCCTTCAAATGCATTTGTGGATAAATATTATTCATCTGTAACATCTCCAAAGTAAAAGTGGTTTTGTTGCTTTGGTAATGAACACATTCTAGTAACAAACTTAAAAGTTTCAGAAGAAATTTTAATAGCCAACTTATCATTCAAAGTTTCACTTGTTACTTATTGCATGCTTTTTAGTGGCTATACCAGTGACAAGGGATCTATTTTTTAAACCAGTTCCTACCATAGCACAACTGCAGTATCTAAAATCTTGCTACTCTAAAATCAATACCATACAAAATTGTTGTCCAATATGGATCAATATTCATGCCAAAATGAGAATTATCCATAGGTTTGGCTCTGCTTACATGACAGTAAAATTTTGAAAGATTGCCTGCCTGCCGCCGAAAATTACATGTCACATTGGTGGTATCCCAGTTAAACAACATCTCACCTTCAATACTGAGAGAATATGCATTTGTATCTCAGCTTTATCCATTAAAAAAGTACTGGAAGATGGCCCTCATGTTTACAAATCTGAGTCACAATATGGTTTTATTGTTTTGTCTTTTTGATGTGATTACTTTGAAATAAAATTCACGCTTTGCAAACATTTACTAACAATTGAAGTGAACAAATGGCATTTAATCTAGCCATCAGACTTAAATATTGTGATGATCATCAAGTTAGAAAACAATAATGAAGGAGTTAGGGTTATAACTTTCCGCTACCTGGTGCCTTCCAAATGTAATGGTACTGCAGTTCTCAAAATTCCAATACAAGGTAGAAATTTTGAAAATTGTACTAACACAACTGGAGGACATTAGATTGGGAAAGTATGATCAAGGCAGTTTTCAACATGTTCTTGAAATCTTATGTATGTTTATAATTATTACTGTTACAAATGTTTACAAATGTTTCAATTTGAGTCATAGTATATTTAATCCTTGCACGTACAGAAAATAAAATTTATTACAAAAACATTCAAGTAGGTTTCTCAAAAATGTGAATTTAAATGCAGCTTCTTAATAAATGCTAATAAATGAATAAAGATCATTCTACTTTGTACTGAAATTTTTGTGTAGTGCAATCTTATGCACATTTATTCTAAAATTAAGTCCCCCTGGCCTAGTTTGCACATTCAACACTCAATTTGCCATACAGAAGTTGTAGAACCTAGAAATTATACCATTCATTTCTTCACTCTCTCCTCTTCATTTACTGAAAAGTTAGTCATGATATCCAAAATAGAATTAAGTAGTTTCACATAATCTGTGAATTAGGAAGCACATCAAGCTGTTGAAGTTTGTGAAGTATCACAAACATGATCAATAAACTTGTTTATTCCTGGATGCAAACTATGATTTTGCAATCTGAAATGAAAGCGGATTTATTTTCAGAGGTGAACATGCAAGAGGCTGCCACCACAAGAATGTATTTATTTATTTCTAATTCACCCTTATTATTTCTATAAGTAAGTCAAGGCAGTGAACATTCAACACACCTTCTTCCTCCTATTTTCCCCATCACAACAAGATGAGGTGGGTTGGGCTGAAAGTGAGTGACTGGCCCAAGCTCAAATAGTTGGCTTTCATGGCTAATGCCAGACTAGAACTCAGTCTCCTGCTTTCTAGCCTGGTGCTTTAACCACTAGACCAAAGTGGCTCTAGAATACTAGTTCAATTCAGTGAAGGCTACTCAGATTGAAATGAAAGTATAAAGTATCATGAGGATCAGGCCATTAAGAAAAAATAAACTTTATATATGTATTTCTATTCAAAATGTAGTTTTAAATTACAACTTAATCTGACTTATATAACTTCACAACAGTTTCCTATGAGATATGTCTTTTCAATGTTTGTCAGAGTCACAGATTTAACTTTAAACATTAATCTTGCTGGCTTTTTAAAATGCTACCAAAAATGCTCATCTTTAAGATGAGATACCAGTATGACAACTAAATGGAACAATATAGAAAGAATATCGAAGTTAATGTCAATGCAGGCAAGGAAATATTGACATAAATCTCAACAGAAATTTTTCTTCAACAAAAAGTATATACGCTCAACTGTAACTCCACACAACTTGCCCATCTTTTTATTTAAAAATGCTCTTTGTTTGTCCTTAAGCAGGCTTTGTGTGAAGCTGAAGAAACTACAGTAATTTTATTACTTTTACGAAAAAGCTTGCTCAATGACATATTTAATCCATCTTATTTTTATTTCAAATCTGATCAGAAGAAATAAAAAGAAACTGTCACAGTATAAAAATAATGTTATTGCAGTTTCCTTTATATCACAGTAGATATCTACATTGCTATTTCCCCCAAATAGCATTTACATACAAAAATGTCCTGAAAGAAAACGACAGATCTTTTTAATGTAGAGTAAAAAACAAAACAAAACCAGATCTGTTACCCACTTTTCTTGTGTCCTTTGTACTGCTGTGATTTAGACTTTTTCTTCTGCTTTGATGAACTTGATTGGCTATCTCTTGAAGCTGATATTTAAAAAAAGAAGATACTGCTTTAACAAATTTCACAGCATATTTCAAAATAGTTAGGAAACACAGTTTTCCACACAGATAAAATGCTCTAGCCAATAAAGATACTATAGGAAGCACTTACATGCAATATAATTTAAGGCCAATGCCTACTCAAAGTGTGAGCAACTTCTTTGAATGCTTTTAATGATACACATTAATATTAATATACAAGTTCTTAGTTTTTCAACATATGTAAAAATAAAATTGAAGCTATAAGAACACTTTGAAAGCAAATCAAATTAGATCAGGCAATTCTGAATTACTAACCAAATGTCTGAGATGACTGAGGCAGTTGGAAACTTGGTAGAATTTCAAAAATGAAGACAAAATTATTGCCTTAGGAATCTGCTAAATATCAGAAATGGAAGATTCTAAAAAAGATCAACAGTAACTTACACTGTGATGCAGGAGGCTGTAGCTGGTAACCTGTTAGCTGACACCACCCTACAGGATAGAGGTCAGGAGATTCACAGTCTACCCACTGATCATATTCATCCTCCCAGCCATCAAAATGTATCCTCAACAGACGATGGATTATGCGAGTTACTGTGGCCACGCATACTAAACGAGGTTCCATGAGATCCACAGCTTCCAGTTTCATTGCAACGTGAAACCCATGGTTTGGAACTTCCTGGAAAAGGGAAATAATCAAATTTTTTACACATGGTGGATTTGTACATCATCCCAAACCATTATTTGTTAACTACGGTTTGTTGAATAAACAAACACCATATGGGCTTCCATTATCATATTAAGCCTTAAACACTATTTACAATCCATCGTGACTGAGTTCATATAAAGTGCAGAATCCCCACCAAACAAATCACATCCTGCCTTAATGCGATTGGACCTAGTCATTATGTGTGAAAATCAAACCTTTACTGTAAAAAAAATTCACAGAAAAATTGCTTTCTCGTCTTAGTAATTCTATTCATAGCCTCTGGACATTCCCGATCTTCTGATATTACACAAGCAACAATCAGAGAGAATAAGTGGGAGCATTCAAACTCCCAGAACCAGCACTTATATACAGTACAATCTGGGTATAAATCCCATGCTTTGAAGCTCATAGACAAAGATTATTTGGCATTGATTCAAGTTTAATTTACTTTTTTTATGTAGTAGAGGCAGGATAAGATGAATTGGACAAAAGTATGTACTTGCACATTTAGAAGAAATATGTTCTGTAAACGATATGAAAGGGGAAAAAAGTCTCTTTCCAAAAGATTTTGGGGAGGGGGGCATGTCTCTGTTCTCAGTTTATAATAATCAGATTTCCAATATTTTTTGGTTTTCATTTAGTCAGTATATTTAGTCAGGCAGTCTGACTGCCTATTTGTGACTAGACCAATTCATATTAGTCCCCAATGTTTTGGGAAGCTGAAGCCCAACAAAAAAATATAGTAAACTTGGTAATATTTTTACCCTTAAAATGTAACATGATATTGCTATGGAAAGCTTGTTTGCTGGATAGTTACATTTCCGTATGGGACTGAATTATATATGCATGTAATAGGCAAATAGATAATATGAATGGAATCCAAACAATATAAGAGACATGAATCAGTATTCTTAAGCATTACCAATATTAAAAACAAAGTTACAAAAATTATAGCGTCTACTTTCTAGAACATCAGGAGCGTATATATGGCCAAGTAATATGTTCAATATAGGCCAGAGCAATGGTTCGGATGAGGTTGCACTTCCCCCGACTGAGCTGATGCACAACTTGTGTTTCCTCCTAGTCTCACAGCTCCTGATTGATGAGCAGATGGCAGCCGTGGTTTAGATTTGTCTTCTGTGGCAATTGTGCCTTTTCTGGCCTTCTAGGCACTCATACTTTGGTAACCTCTTGTCTGGATTACTGCAATGTACTTTACATGGGACTGCACCTGAAGACTACTCAGAAATTGCAACTAGTCCAGAACAAGTATGGCAGCAGTCACTTCATGTTTATTGGACGATTGAGGTAGTTTTTTAAAAGACTAGCAATTTCAATAAGCTAAAGATATAAAATGATGGAGTGAATACCTATACATATAAGGACTTGCTCCACTATTGTCTCATTTTTGTTAAAATCTATAAGCCTGTTAACACAGTTATAGGAAGAGTAATTTGATTTAAATATGTGAATATGGTTTTGAATTATAAATATTTGGAATTTCTTCCTGCATTCATAATTATGTTTGGGGGCACAATAAAAAAAGATTAGAGTTTTATGATGAAAAAATAGTGCCACATCAGATTTACAATCTTGGATTGATTATGTATGTTTCACTACGAACCAGGTCTTTCTTAATAGAGAAATACTGTTTCTCTATCAAGATAATGCTGCTTTTAAAACTAAGCTATTTTTCATGTCTCATTTTTGTTAAAATCTATAAGCCTGTTAACACAGTTATAGGAAGAGTAATTTGATTTAAATATGTGAATATGGTTTTGAATTATAAATATTTGGAATTTCTTCCTGCATTCATAATTATGTTTGGGGGCACAATAAAAAAAGATTAGAGTTTTATGATGAAAAAATAGTGCCACATCAGATTTACAATCTTGGATTGATTATGTATGTTTCACTACGAACCAGGTCTTTCTTAATAGAGAAATACTGTTTCTCTATCAAGATAATGCTGCTTTTAAAACTAAGCTATTTTCCATGTCTATATTTTGGATAGTTTTTTCTTTTCCCTTCTGTTTTTTTCCCCCTTTTCTATATAGTAAATCAAAACAATTATATACCAAGATAAAAAAACTGACCTACATTCTCTAGAAGACATGTGTGTCTATTTACTAATACAGTATATCATTAACTTTAAAGTCTACCTTTCATGCAAAAACTCCAGGTGGTTTAATAGCACTCCCTCCTACTTTTCCATAAAACTCAAGAGAAATAGGTTGTTTGTGAGATATAATGATTCTTTATGACACTGACTGCCTGTATATTCATGCATAGCAGATTACTATATTTCAGAGCAGCTCTGTGTCCAGTCTTCAGAGATCTCATGTGAGCCTTGTAAAGGAAGCGGCTGCTTTAAAGCTTCAAGGTGTAATGCTTTTTTTATATAAAAATACTTTATTTAGCACAACTCTACATAGTGACTTTGTGGACATATAGTGGAACTTTGCCACTATCTTCCTCCAGAATTATTTCATTTCTTTACTTCTCCGTCAAGTTTATACCCTGCATTCCTCATAATCCTCCAGCCAAATCCTAACTAGATCTGACCCGCTTAACTTTTCCAAAACTAGCCAAGGCTGGCAAGAATTCTAATCCCCATTTAATCAGGAAACTCCTACATGATTTAGGTTGAGGACTGTCTCTCAGTTAATTGTTATGAAGACCGGGGGGGGGGGGGTCCTCAGGAAAAAGACAGGTGCAAACATACCAAGAATCACTCTATTCAATTCAAAATTCCTATTCAGATAAAAGTTATTCATATTCCATAAAATAATCCCAAATGAGTTTCTGGAGTTACTAGAGTGCCATGCTATGATGCTGAATTAATGAAAAAGTATACCTCACACAAATTCTCTTTTCCATTTTTAAAACATTTTCTATAATAGCTATCCTAGGCAATTTCTGGTTCAGGGAGAGGAGGCAGGAAAACAAAGAAAGTATAGGCATGTTACGATGATCAAATTTCTGGTCTGTGTGCCAGCTTACCTTGTTAAAGAATTTGACAGGGGCTGCTACTGAACCTGTTTCCCTGAGGTAGTCAAACCATTTGAAAGGTAGCTTTGCATAACCTACAAGTTAATAGTTATTATATAACAACACTGTCAGGAAACATTCTGATCCTTAAGTAAAATACATTTGTTCTACTATGTTTTTATTGATGTCCTATAGTACAATTTTATGAGATTCATAAAATAAAAACTTTAAAATACAGGAAGAATATGAACTGTTAAAAATAAAGTCACAATTAAAATGTATTTTTACCACTGAGATACCAGACATATTATTTCAAAGGACTCTAGTTCCCCCAAAATCCTAAAAAGTTGCTAAATAAATCTCTTTGGCTTCACGGTTCCATAACCAAAAAAACAGAAAGCCCTCTACCAAAGAGGGGTTAACCTGCCTTCATCTGAGGGCAGCAGTTTGAAGTAAAGCCTCTAAAGGTGAGCATTCATACATACATCAAGCTCCTAAGTGAAAGTCGATTTAGCCCTTATTGACTCCTTTGATTGTCAAGCAAATCTCAGGGAAAAAAACTTCTTAAACCATAAAAAGCTGTACACTATTTCTAGGTGAAACTGAGGATAAAACCTAGGACACGTATATATAGCATATACCTATATAATACCTATGTCTTATTTCTGAGTCACCGTATTTTTTGCAGTAAGAACATCAATGGAAAGAAAGGGACCTCAAACACATAGAAACCACTCTTGAACAGATAGTAGCTCAATGTCTGCAGCTTTGAATGCTTTCTGTTCTGAAACTATGCTAACAGTATTGCTAACGAGCAGGAATTACTGTTCTTTTCCTGAGGGGGAAAAAGACAAACTCTCAAAGAAGACTGAATAAAACATGCTTTACTATGAATACAGGTAGTCCTTGATTGACGACAACAATTGAGCCCAAAATTTCTGTTGTTAAGCAAGATAGTTTGTTATGTGAGTCACTGCAGTTGTTCAGTTAGTAACAACAGTTCTTAACTGAATCTAGCTTCCTCATTGATTTTGCTTTTCAGAAGGTCACAAAAGGTGATCACATGACCCCAGGACACTGCCACTGTCATAAACATAATTTAGTTGCCAAGAGTCTGAATTTTTATCATGTGACCATGGGGATGTTGCAATGGTTGTAGGTGTGAAAAATGGTCATTTTTCAGGGTCACTGTAGCTTCAAATGGTCACTAAAGGAACGGCTGTACGTCAAAGATTAGTTGTATAAAGAAGAAAGTCTGCTGGGGCAGTTCTTTAATTGGAGATCTGGTTTTATAGCAGTGGTTATCAACCTGTGGGTCGGGACCCCATTTGGGGTCGAACAACCATTTCACGGGGGTCGCCAAATAACACAGTCCGCCATTTTTTCCCCCTTTTCCTTAGCTGTGCTACTCCCTTTTATTCTATTGGCTTTTGAAAGCCAATAGAATAGACTCTCTTGAATAGAGTCTAATTCTATTGGCTTTCAAAAGCCAATAGGAATTGTCCAGGCTGTCTCTGCCCTGCTGAGCCCGCCAAAAGTCCCATTCTGCAAACGGTGCTGCACCAGTTGAGTAGTCTTCGACTTACGACCGGTTGAGTAGTCTTCGACTTACGACCGGTTGAGTAGTCTTCGACTTACGACCGGTTGGGGGTCGCGGCATTAAAAAGGTTGAGAACCACTGTTTTATAGGGAAGTTACACTGGCTGATTTGATTTTAGACAGCTGATAAAAATGGCATCAGTTCTTGTTGAGATGCTTTTCCTTGATTCTGCAATGTACTGATGGTTTTTACATACTTATTTTATCAGTTTTGCTTTAGGCGTTTTAAAATTTCGTATTTTAGTTTCTTAATTTATTTTTTAACAGTAAATTGCTTGATATGACAGACATATAAAACAAGAAAACATGAATACCTCGGGGTGGAGTTAGTTCTATCGTGTTAATTTCACAGAAACCAACAGGGAATATAGAAGGGGAGATTGCATGGTAACAAAACCAGTCAGACCCATCAGCTGCCTCAGATCCATCAATCCCAATCATAAGATATCCATCTGCTAATACCTAGAGTTAAATGTAGGGAATTAATACAAAGCAGTGCAAGAGAGGAAAACATGAAATGACAGGTAATTCAGATGCCATAGGGTTCAAAACATAAAGAGAATTTTTCATCAGATTTCTCAAAGAATCATGGTTGCATTAAACCAGGGGTCTTCAAACTTGGCTCTTTTATGACTTGTGGACTTCAACTCCCAGAATTCTGGAAGTTGAAGTCCACAAGTCATAAAAGGGCCAAGTTTGAAGACCCCTGCATTAAACCATAAAGTTCCCCTTTAGTCAAGCTTAATTCCTAATGACAACATGAACACATGTGCTATTTTCTTAGCAACAATACAAAACTATATGCCACTGCCTTCTTTCAGAATGCTGTTTTGACTTCCCAATCTAATCTACTGCCCTAGGACTTCTTGGTGGCCATCCAATGTAAATGGGCAACCCTGCAACTTTTTTCAAGATCAATCATGGTCAACTAAGTATATAATATATTGGTACTTTTACAAATGACTCTGATTTTGGTGTGGGGTACAAATAATCTACCAGCTAGTTCCTAGTTCAGCTCCTTTATATAAATAGTCCATATGTTATGCAATTGGTCCATATAATCTATAATGTCATTTTACGGGCTCCTTTTAACGCACATGGAAATTAATGTGACATTAAGTAGAATTTAGTAATGTGGCCCCATAATATCATAAACTTTTAGTATTATGCGATTTATATATATCAACTATATTATATACTTTATATGCAGCCCAAGACAACTCCTCTTCACTCAATGCAATCCAGACAAGCCATGATTTAGAACATTAAATAACAATGGCCCTAATGGCTGCCTCCAGCTCACATTCCCCCATCACGTAAGTTAATTATCTTTACCTTTCTAATTGTTGCCACACATATAGCAGAAAGATTTAAGGGATCTATGGCTTCCAATTTCATCCCCTCTTTGAACCATTCTCCACTGGACTCAGCTTCTTTTACCTAAAAAATACCCATAGCACACATTGATATATGGCAAAAAAACAAACCAACCAGAGACCAAAACACCTGTTAAGGCATTCTTTTCTATTCAGTCTTTGTGTATATGTTTTAGATGCATCATTTTCACTCAGATGCAAATTCATTTCTTTCCTTTATTTATTCTATTTTACTGTAGTAAATACTTAAAAACACAATCAAGAAAAAAGGGAATTAGGAAGAACAGAAAAAATAAGCAATATACAATGTCAAAGTAGCATTAGATTAATGCTACATATTAATGTACCTTGCATTTTCAGAATATTATTTAGATTGATTCAATATGCAATAAATGACAACAGCCATAACGTGAATCATAGTAAAGAGAATTAATTTGTCTACTTAATCTAAGAGTTCTGTCATTTAGTAATTTAAACAAAGGCCTGGTATTAAAGCCTTGGATTCAGAGAAACACAGAGTTCAAGTGCAATATATGTCTCTATATAGAATTATAATGCACAAATGGTTTCCAAGTTAAATTCTGTATCAGACTTATTTTTCAAATATTGTTATGAGTTATTTGACAGTGATGCATATTCCCACAATTTAATTTGTCATTCTTCTATAGTGCACGTTATATGTGATTTTTTTTCAAAGTCACAGAATGAAAAGAATCTGTCAGGATCCATTTTGGGATGGATTTTTCAGCCAGCCTCTTTGAGAGTGGAAGTGTTGCCTGCTAGGTTGATTTCACTCCACGTTGGTGGAAGGGGGAACTCCCTCCACAAAAGCAGTCCTTCTGCTCTCAGAGACTGGCTGGAAAAATTCACAGCACAGGCCAAGAGAGAGTTTTAGTCCCAGGTGGCTGAAGCATGGAGCACTTGGAGCCAGGCTGGCTCCAAATTGCGAATGCTAAAATCTCTTTCTCCGTAGACTTTTCCACCAGCATCTTTGAGAGTGTCAGATAGATTTCAACCCACTCTCTGTTTTTCTCAAAGATGCTGATTCTAAAATGCCCTTCTTTGCTGAAAAGCCAGCAAAAAGGATCTTTCTGAAATGGGTGGAAAAGATTTTCTCTCACTTTAAAAAGATTACATTTGCTAGCCAGCCAGCAAACCAAATATTTCTAAGGTGAGGGGGGAGGCGGTTCTTCTGCTTTAGAAAGATCACATTTGCTGGTATTTTTATAGCTTTTCTCCCCTTTCAGAAATAGTGTATTTTCAGGCTCTCTAGCCAAAAAAACTAGCAAATGGAGTGTTTCTAAAGGCTGGAAAGGCTAGTCCTGAGATGGGAGGGGAACAGCATGGCTTCAGGATCTAAGCTTCATTTCTCCAGCCCAGTGTAAAAATTCTTTTTTACTCATGAAGGGCAGCTGCCTTCCCTCTTTGGGCAGGGAGCTCTTTCTGTTTAACAGTCCACACAGTTGCTTAATGATCACATTTGGGAGAGCTGGGCAATCATGTGCCTCACTTAACGAGTGTCAGGATTTGCAGCTATAATGGGTAGGGTTCATTATAAGACAAGGACTACCTCCACTAAAGCAAGGGGTAATAAATGCAGGCTAGTCCTTTTTCTATATTTATCCCATCCTTTTAATACACTACTCTTTATCGACTGATTACGTTATAAATGTCTGTTTTTACAGTACTAAGCCAAAGACATTTATGTAAACTATCTTGGAGTCCCATTCCCTCAACAGAGGCAGTGTAACCATAATAGGATGTAATCCAGTCTGTCATCCAAGTTAGACAGCTAGCTGGCTAATGAAGTTTAAAATCTGGAACTGCAATCCTCCTCATTCATAAATGTTTTGTAAAATCTGAAGCTTTAGTTACTTGCCTCTGCCACTTGTTTAATACTTTGTCTTCAAATCTTATTGGAGTAATCATTTGAAATATTAAGTGCTGATAAATCATACCCATTAAATTTTAACATTCTTTAAAATTAATAAATTTCTTCAATATGAATAAAATTTCTTCTAAAATATCGTACCTTAGCAAATAATTGTGGGGGTGCATCAATGTGACCATCTTGCTTCTTGGTAATATCTTTGAAGAAAAAGGAAAAATTAAGGCTGCCTCCTCCACTACTTGAAAATCATGATCTCCTAAAAATATTATTAGTCAAAAATATAACTGAATGTTGACACAAGTAGTAAAAGCATTTTTGTGACAGAGAATGACATTACAATATAATTTTAAATGCCTTTATCTAAAAAAACAAAACAAATGCTGTTCACTCAGCTTCACTGTTACATCCTAACTTACCAGATCTTTTGAATCGATGTCCTATACTCCGAGACCAACCAATAGGGTGAATGAGTGGGCTGTACATATGGCACCAGAAGTCATCTGTTTTGTCCTCACTTTCTTCATACACTAATCTTAACCTGCCTCCAATTACACTGTCAACAACTGCTATCCGTGTTCGGCAGAGGTGTGTTTTATCGACAACTTCTACTCTCATAGAAGGCTTGAAAGGATACTGCATACTTTCAGATACCTTGAAACAAGTTATTGTGCAGCATTAATTCATGCGCATCTGCAAATATTTATTATCCAACATATTTGCACACAATATTGGTCACAAAGGTCGGTATATGTTAAATTAGTTTTCGGAGAATACAAGCAGCAGAATTCCAAATGTCAATATCATCTTACAGTGTTTCTATATATAGTGCCAATGTTTGGGGGGGGGATTTAGATCAGAATATTTATTAGAAGGTATTAACAATGAGGTCTCAGAGTCTAGTGACAAGTCTTTTATTCAGACAATCTAGAGCAGTATTTCTTAAATCTTTTGCTCAAGACCCCTTCCTACCTTTAAAAATTATGAAGGGCCCCAAAAGAGCTTTAATTTATATGGTTTATATTTATGAAAAATTACCATATTAAAAACCGATGCATTCACAGAATACTGAATTATGTAAAAGGAATATTAAACCTCTCAGATATGAACATCAATATTTTTCATGAAAAAACTGTATTTTTTAACAAATAAATATGAGAATTTTTTTTTAAATTTTTGGAAAATATCTTCAATATTTGACATAATTCTGATTTTGCAGACCGCCCTGAAGGTTTTAAGGGACTCCCAGGGACCCTCGGACCACACTTTAAGAAACACTGGTTTGGATTGCCAGACTAGGCAACTCTAATTACTGGCTTTCATGACTTACCTCTCAGGTTCTCAATCAGTTTATTAAATGAGAAACTATCTTTTTTCAATATTATACAGTCAACTAGAATCAGAATAATTTTTTCTTGTATCTTTTCAAACACCTGAAAACATTATTACTGGTCAAACTATAAAAGCTAACAGGTTAGCTTTTAGTTGAAATATTGGATTCAAATTTAGGGGTATGTGATGAGAAAGATTAACAAATACTTCCTTGGCTTTAGTCTCAGGGCTATTTTCAAGCTTGCAAAAAACCCTCATGCAGGATCAAGGAAGATTCTCCAAACTGATTTAACACCTCACTTATTAGCAAATTCCCCACACAGTTTTAGTTACTCTCACCTTCTGAGAGAAGTCAGGAGGAAGAGTTTTGGCACCGGTGAGTCTTTTTACCAGAAAAGCTTTCCAATTTGTATATTTGTGTTGAATGGCTGTCAAGAAAAAAACATGCATTAGTTATTTAAACTTTGAATTAAGACACTCTGAATGAGAATCAGCAAGTTTAATGGTAATCCAAATGCATTAATTATTGCAAATTACTTAATCAAAAGTAACTCAAACATCTTAGTACATAATATGTAGTGCTCACAATTTTAACATAGGATAGGCATTCTTAAATAAGATTTTTAAAATATTGTCCCGCACCATCATAATCAGCAGAGAGAGAACGAGATGAATAATTCAAAGTATTACTGCTATATTTTACATACATCGTGGTGGAACTAGAGGTTTCCCACTGGTTGCACACCAACCAACTGGATGGATATCAGGTCCACAGATGTTACACCAGAAGTCAAGATTTGAATCACCTTCAAAGCCTTCATATCTTAATAAAGCATTGTAACCTGAAACAGAGGTTGCGTTTAAGAGCTTAGTTTGGAGGAATACATCTGCAGTATTAATCAAGGTTATTGGGAGGTGGGGGTTCCAATTGTGAAACTGCATTAGGCCCCCAATTCCTTAAACCAATCTTGAGTATCACTACTAAAAACATGAATATAAATATGGGCACACACATTCCAGTAAAAATTTTAAGCTAATCACATACCATTCTGATAAGTTCAACAGTTGCAATAATGGTTCATCAGTCTCTGAAAATGCTAAAGATTATAATTAATATTCTATGTACCATTCAATATGCCACAAGCTATTTTTATACAGTTTCTATGATCAAAACTGACTGGCTATTCCTAAAAGATATGCCTCACTAAACAATCTAACAATTAAACTATTTAACACTTATGATTTCTATTTCTAAAAAACTTTTCAAAGGAATAATTCTTCAATTCTGTCTAAGCAATTATAGTTTAAAATACATGATTATAACAATTAATAACCTGCTAATTTCAAAATCCCAGCAATCCAGAAGACTTTGGTAGGTAGGCTGCAATCTGTGTTAGGGACTTCCACACGCACACCTTCTGAGATATCACCCCAGCATGTCCCCATAGGTGCCTGCAATGTAAATCAGAAAAATAAAAGTCACATCACAGGTAAACATGTGAAAATACACACAATTTTGAAAACATACTAGCAGCGATACCTTAAAGCTTACCTTTTTTAAGAGACAGTACAGAGTCATTCCTCCCTTTCCCCATTCTTCCAGGCAAAGGAAATTTATTTTTCAATATGCCTCATATTTACATAGACTTTAAGCATGAGGGAAAATCATAATGATTATTACAGAAATACAAAGAAATCCATCCAGAGTCAAATGCAGCAAAGAATATGAGACCAAATAGGAAATCAGCATTTTTCATAATAGATTCAAGCAATGTAGGACTGAAGAAATATGTAATTTTTCGATGCACAAATATTTTTTGTTTTTTTTAGAACTATCCAAATAATTTTAGAAAGTAACATATTGGGAATATGTATGTATGCATGTATGTATATTAGCCAAATTAAAACCTTTTTTAATTTTTAATTAACACATTTGAAAAGTTACAAGAAATAAAATAGCTGAGATACCCTATTGCAAATTATTGCAGAGTAACTTTGTTTATAGCAAGATAAGCACTTGACATGAGAGTAATTAAAAAGGACATCTAAATTCTGGAAATAAGAAAGTGTGTTTACTTAGGAAACATTATTAATTATCTCAGTATTTAACCCGTAATAATTTTTTAGGTTTTCAGTGAATAAGATTATTTCATTGACCTATTTCTTTGCTGGTGTGGTATACTTTCTGAACTGGAAATTTGGCATTGACTAGGGAACCAAAACAATCTGAAACTACGGTGGTCATTGAACCCAGTGGGATTTATTTCTACATGAGAATTATACAGTTGTGCCAGAAGATACAGATCAAACAAAAATGTGGATAAAGGTATAATGTTTATATAATGAATTACTGGTTTCAAAATTTTGCAGTACTTTGACAACATCTAACAATGGAGAGTTGAACATGACTCAAGGGGAAATCAAATTCAATGGATTGTTAATGGGAAAATATATGAGAGGTACTGTATAAAGTTAGCTCTGAATATTACTTGATGGTTTCTGAAGTATCTATCCTTTGACTGCTTAAAAGTGTATTCTGTTTTAGATGCTACAATTTTTGACAAAGTGACAAAAAAAATAAAATACAGAAGCTGAAATAGGAACCATCCTATGAAATTTTACTGAATTTGTGAAGTATTATGGAGGCTCCCAGACAGGATACTACTAATGTTCCTGACAGTGACAATAAAAGCAGCATTCAGGTAAGTTTCAAGACAACAGCTTCAGGCATACTGAATACTACAAAATAATTGCCTCATAATCATACAAACGGTGTTTCTTAAGAAATCCTATACTACATCCCAGTCTCCAAGAAGCACATGGAAGCATCTGTTGTTTTAAAAATGATGCTTCCATACTTCTGGTTTATTGCAGTGGTCTCAAATTGAGAGAAAAAACTGTTACACAAACATCCACTCAACATAGTTTCTGGCATACAGATCTTCTCTTTTAGTAGTCTATCTGCTTCAGAGAAAGCTTAGCAGACAGATTTAATACAGAAAAACAACTCAGAAGTATTATTACACTACATAATCTGAAACATATGTTACTTACAAGAAACATACATAGTTAAAATTTCCAAATTGTAACAACTCCAAACCAATCTTATGTGTATTTTCATTAGGTCTGTTTCAGTGAAGAGATTCTAGACACTAACTTAAAGCTGCTCTTTCTTAAATATATGGACCAGAGCAATCTCTGTATAGTTTATTTCTGTTCAAAAGTGATATAAAATTGAATTTATGCATATGTGTGTGTAGTAAAGCCAATAGAAGTAGCTACCCCGTTGGCTGAGGTTTCTCATCCAATTGGTTCAGAGTCCTATTGGCATTATAGTCATTTTTACTCTGTTCAGTTCATGACCAAAGTTTGAGGCACCAGATTTCAAAGATGCGGATTGGTATAGGGGTAACAGCAGAAAGTTAAACTTGTCCTTGTCTGTGTAAAGATAGTGGTTCAGCTAGTTCCTCCTACACCAATCCATATGGCTCTCAGTTCTGAAGAAGAAAGCCATAATGGGTATGGATCTTGTGGCCTTGAAATGATGGTATACAGTATATTCAATATACTGTTTTCTCCTGAACATGACGTTTACTAGCAGAACCATAAGTGTGCAGATAAGAACAAGTTTACCTTCTAGACTCATGATGAAGACATCCACCTCGGGCTCCTTCCCAATAAAAGGAAGGTCTGCCTGGCCACCACTTTGATCCAGCGCACACTCTGGAGGAATTATCTGTGAGGGACAGCCGCCTTCCCTGCAAGGTAAGTTGCAATCAGGAAGGTCTTGATGGGTGAGGTCCAGATTCATGTAATGGCCTTCCCTATCCAAAAAAGGCTGACCACATAGTATCTGAATAGGACAGCTAAGTATTACTATTAACTGCTCAGCTTAGTAAAAATACCTGGTGGGCTCTGAAATTTCAGGGACTAATACATCTTTGGTATAAAATTTTGACAAAGGATCAAATGAGGTATAAGTGATACCTAGTCATATTTTGCAAATACTGTACACTACCCACAACTATCATAAGGATGGTCAGACAACAAGACATGGACAGGAAGATTTGAGACCAATCATTGTATCTCACAAGATGTTGTTATAGGTAACAATTCAAGAAGGATTTTAAATGCTATCTTGAACTTTTGGAGGAAGGATAGAATTTAATAAACAAAATTGGAGGCATGTGTACAACATGGATTGTTTTTTTAAAAATAGTACTCTCTCCTTCCTCCCCAATAAGTGTGCAAACGATAACTGTTACTTGGATTCAAGGGGAAAAAAACATATATTTCTTGAATTTAAAAAACCCTTGAATTTGAAAAGGGAAAAGGTGCCAGCAAACCAATGCCATCAATAGTTAGCTACTGAAAAGAGAAGCATTTATTTCCTTTAACATTTTATTAATAAGTTGAAAATAAATGCATAATGTTTTCAAATAATAATGAGAGCAATTCTCATGTGTGCTTATTGTACCCTTATTGAGCATACTGTATATTTTAGCACATACAATCAGGCCAAGTATTAAGTAAAAGTTGGCAGGTTTTGCTAATACTATACTTAAAAGGGACTAGAGTCTCACTAGACCATTTAAGGCTACTATAATTAGGCTACAAAAATCTGGACAATCACTACACTGCTGCCATCTAGTGATGGTCTAGACATTTTGCAACCCAGATATGTTAGTCCTCAGACAATTTGATGTCTTAGTATAGGGTTTTTCTTCACTGGAAAATCTGAAAAAAATCCACTGCAACAAAAAGTAGTTTTTGTTCAAGATCCAATAAGCATTTCATTTAATGGACCATTTGGAAGGAGAAATTAAATTTTAGTGTCCATTAAGGTTGACTCAGCCTTACATCCTTCAGAGGTCGGTAAAATGAGGACCCAAATTGTTGGGAGCAATATGCTGACTTTGTAAATTGCTTAGAGAGGGCTGTAAATCACTATGAAGCGGTATATAAGTCTAACTGCTATTGCTATTAAATCTGAACATATAAAGTTTGCATCAAACTATCCCATTTAAACAATTTAATAAACTCCCCATGGTTTAAGGCATGGAGTAAAGGCCAGACAGAAAAGTATCCATTATATCAGAAGTCCACTAAGCTAAGATCTGTTAAACTGAAGATGTATTGCACTATTTTGCCAAAAAAGGGGGCAAAAATCAGAAATCTAAGATAGATGATTCTATTACAGTTAGTGGTAAAATCTGTATTTAGTATTATGCCATAAAGTTAAGCCTGGTAAAAGCACCAGATATAAGGGAGAGTCTTGATATGTTCTTAGAACAACCTGATGTGTTTTCTTTCAAACTGCAGTGTTAAAGCAGCAATAAAAAGAAAAATATGCAATCCTTTGTGGAACACCTAAAGCAGCATATTCATACCACATATTATCCATATAACTATTCAATAGCCAGAAATAAGAGGATATGCCGGAAGGGGCTTCTTCAACATGATTCATTCATGGTCCCACAAACAAAAACTATGGCTAAAACACACTAGGTTAACGGTAAAAGTATTCAAATAATAAGCATATTAGAAATGAAATTGCCTCAAAATGGATTATGTGCCATCAACTTGTTCTCAACTCTTAACGAATGCATAGTCTCAAAATATTCTCTTACAAATACTCAATTCTGGGTGTATAGTTACACTGTATCTAAGTCCATTTTGAATTAGTTATGTAAAAGTCATTCATTTTACTAGTTGAATATTTATTCACACAGATGTAATTTATTCATCTCTTTTACATATCTATCAAAACCATTTTGAACTAAACTATTTCAAATTTAAAACATGCCATTTTAGTACAAAATGCTATGCCTCAGTCACGAAACAGCTACATCAAGTGATTTGAAAATATTTTCAGTCAAAAATTGGAATGCAAAACAATACCATCTGTTTAGTAGTGATTGACATTAGAGTAAATCACAGAGTATCTAGTGAAGGGACATGCATATAGTACCAGTAGAAATAACGATATTCTTCTGACTTTTACATAGAGACCATTCTGAAGTTATTCTTGCTGTTAATTTTAATTGCCAAACGTTTACTGCAGTTTTGAAGTTTTCCTGCCCAGTTCAGTGTTATTTACTTTGGGGGTTACCTTTTAACATCAGACAAAATGAATGAAAAGTGCAAAGGTTAGCACTGGTTCCTGAAGTGATTTTTGAAGATATAACTTATATCCTTTCTCCAAACATGGGTGGCAGGAATAAAATTTAACAAAGGAATATTATGCCATATAAAGGTCATTCTTTTATAATGTATTAAAATCTGTGAGCTTTGCATCTATTTATAATGTTTTTATTCTAAAAACACAGGTGGGGGGGGGGAGGTTTGGATGCCTACTGTCATCTCCACAGAACAGTTAATGTTATATAAAAGCCATTTGGCCCAAAATGCAAACTAGTAAAAGAAACATAAATAAACCATACCAATTTTTTTGCAAAAATGACATTTAAAATTATGGTAAGAATATTAAAGAGAAGTCCTTAATTATAACATAAAAATACAAATAATGGGGAAAACACATCCAATATAAATATCTGGTGCGTTTCCATGCCATCTGTGCTAATGGGGAAAGCACACTTCAGATTCCTTCACTGAAATGAAGTTATCTTGTGGGATCCCGGAGCTATGCAGGTCTTTGGAATGATTTTCCAAGGCTGAACTTTCCTATAAGGCAGAGATCCCCAACTCCCAGGCCGTGGACCAGCACCAGGCCGCGGCATGCCAGAAACCGGACCACACAAACAAGCAAAGCCCCATCCGTGGGATGCCGGCAGTACATGAAACCACACACCCCCTCCGGTCCATGGAAAAACCTCTCTCCATGGAACCAGTCCCTGGTGAGCAAAAGATTGGGGACCTCTGCTATAAAGTACTAAGTGCAAGTTAGCTCAGCTCTGTAACTGTTGATTTGTTAGCACTGGGCAACAAAGATTTTGCTTCCTGAACACTTTTGGGTGAATCTTACAGACTGTTGCCTGTTACAGAAATTATAGAAAAATGAAGCTGGTAGTAGGGCTATAATCAAACCCTATACATATTTACTCTATATCCCACCCTCTTTAACAGGCATTATTCCTAAGGAAATTCCTTAAGAATTTTCAATTTTTAAAGGTTTGAATTATAGTTGAAAATCAAAGCTAACTAGCCAGAAAGACAGTCATCCTGTCTGTTTTGCAGAGGCTGCACTTGTTACTTTGGTTCCATGAAATTTTCATGACACATGGATGACAAAGCAAATTAACACAAGGAGACAGAATAAGGTGACATCAACAAACTATTACAAGGCAAAACAGTCTTAATTGCCATGTTCTGATCAGGCTTCCTTAATAAAGAGTGAGAATGCATTAAATCACAGGTATTGTTATTTTACCTACTTTCACTTATTGTTACGTGTTAACAACTTCTCAACTAGCAGCCACAATGTACTACAAGAATGAGGCAATCAGCTGTTGGGAGGTAAAAAAAACTCACATAAATGTGTGTGTATGTTTTTTTCAGGTGCCCTTCCATACCTTAAAACTGCCTGATGGTTTGTTTTGTTTCTGGTCAAACTGGCCCTGTATGCTGTGCAAAAGAAACCTGAATTCTTACATCTGTAAGCTGAAAGCATAAATAGGAACACCGATGCTGAATATGCTTCTCATTAATTGAAAACTCATTTTTATACAGCAGAGGCAAAACTATCTTTAATTCCCTCCTTCCCTATTGTTCTAGCCATATGCCCAGTCTTTAAAGGACACTGCATAGGATATTTCCAAAACAATTTCTCTACTGCTGACAGGAGGAACTCTGAATCCAACCATCTTATTTTAAAGGCACCACTTAAGTTAACTCCAAAAGCAACTTTACTGGATGGATCAGCCAAGTTTCTATTAAAACAAGTTTATTCTTTATCCCTGTTAATGTAAAATAACTAATTTAAAATTATGCACTCTATTATATAGACACACCTTACTAATGACAGAGTAACTTACTGTAACTTGTTCCTTCTTGCAAAATCAACCTGAAAAACATGCTTGTTCTGAACTCCACCTGCTTCTGAGGAAAAATGCAAAGCTCTCTTTTGTACATAAGGGGACTACAAGAAGTTTAATCTACAATACCAGATTTCACTGAAGGAAACTTGGCACCAAAGCTTGACAGATACCTAGGATCAAGTCCACAGGATTTTAAGCACCATCTCTAAAATGACTTTAAAAAATTGTCACTGAAATTATGATAGCCACTACATAAACTGAACAGTAGGGTACCTCTTTGGATTTGGAGATTGCAATTTAGATAATTAAGGAAGTTTGGATTGCAATTTAATTTAGAGTATCAACTTCAGTTAGGGGAAAGGCCACATTTTCTGTATAATTAACATTATGAGCTTTAATTCTCTGCATATCTAAGACATAGGTTAAAAGGAACCCTTGAACAGTATGTCGTTATCTTTTTAATTATTTCTTAATGAATATAATGGTAAATTAAAAACAATATACTTACATGTTTGAAACAATTCACAGGAGCTGCTGTGAAACTATTGCTATTGATATAGTTGCCCCAACTGAAACCTTCCATTGGAACAGATGCTAGAATGAGAATTACTGCATTTAGTAACAATAATAAGCAAGGTACAAAATGTAATACATGAAATGAGCACAGAAGCATTTTTCTTTGTTTTCCTATATATAAGCAATATATATTTATTTAAAGAATATTTTCAATCTATTAGAAAAATTACAGAAGGGCAGCACTAGGGAAAATTCTTCAAAATTTGTCTGAAAAGTCATAGTGTGCTGAGGAATATGGTGGGTTACATAAGAGAGTCTCTATCAAAGTAACTCACCTAATCAAAGAAATATAGTCGTCTGATGTAGGTCAGATGCACAACACTGACCGACATGAAGGCATACGGTCAAGGTATATAGGATAGATATTAGATCAGGACAGATACACTTCTGTAAATTCGTCTCCCAATCTATTTGGTGAAAGTGCTTTTACAACCATTGACATAGCTAAAAGGCCAATAATAAAACCTAAGAACTCTATTACTCAGAATATTTTCTGCTGGATATTTTAGCAAAGGCTTAGATAAGAAATTTTAGTATGCTTCTTTCAATTTCCTGGAATATATTGCATATTTTTAATCTAACCATGCTTTAGAACAGGCATGTCAAACTCGCGACGTCATGTGATGTCACACAGCATATCGGAGCTTTTTCGCCATTGCCGGCAATGGGTGAGCGCGGCTCCAGTATGATGAAACCAGCCTGCGGGCTGGCAGTTTGACACCCCTGCTTTAGAAGGTTATTCCCTCCATTAAAAAAAATGGGAAAATTTTCCCCATAATTGTACTTGGTGGTGATTAATAACAATGTTACCTGTTTTAGTCTTGGACTGGTTCTGTACCGTTGCTTGGTATTGAGCATATGCAGCTAATTTAGCAACTAAAGGTTGTTTTTGTAACACTTTAGCCTTCTTAGTGGGAGGTTTTCCCTGAAACAACAAGAGCTAAATAAGGTTCTTTTCAAAAACACAACACAAATGTTTGAAGCGGTGATTCTACTGGATAAAGCAACACTTTTGTTTTCAAATTTATCTGATATCAATTTATAACAAAGAAAATTCATGACAAAAATGTGAGAGAAAAACATTTACATTCAGAGAAAAATTAATTAAACAGTGTCCCATATTTTTAGGTTGACTCAATTTACCTTTTCAAACCATTTGCAAAAGTTTCTAGCAACTGCTATTTTGATTTTAGATTTTTTTAAAAAAATGTAACAAATAACAGTTCTGCCATGCCAAAAATGGGAAGATCATCTGGAGAAAATACAGGTTTTTCACATGCCACAAGACTGATCAATGCAATAGTGTTTAAGAATTGGGTAAATAAATGCCACTTTGCTTCTTGAAGATAATGTACTAGTTATTCCTGCAATTTGAGTCAATGGTGCTATTCTCCTGCACCAGTTATCTTGCCTAGGTGCAACAAGCACAGCAAGAAAGGGGAGAATCAAGAGATGCTATCAACTAATTTATGGGATGGAGAGAGATCAGGCCATTAGGGTAAAGCTGATGGTTAACTGACTTTCTCACTGTTGTCCTGGTTCCCACATTAAAAAGTCTTTGGTTGTCATGCTGACTTTCTTTCTGATCTAGCTGCATGATTAATTAGTACTAGTCCCATCCAGAATAGAGATTCAGATGAGAGCAAAAATTAATTTTCCTGATCTTTCATACCTAACAATTATAGCTGAAAATACATTTGAATTCTCTGTACAAGAATATTTAATGCAACAAGTGCAATAGGCCTATGACAGTCAAATCATTTTATATTCTTCTTCCTAGAGTACTATACTAAATATGCTGTTAAAATTAGTCGTACAGTTCAGAGATAATTGCAGCACAGACATTCTCATTACTTTTTATTGAAATCCATAAAAGATATTTGGATAACTGAACAGTAAAGCAACTTTCTCACTTTGTCAAGGAGCAATCATTAGACTCCTCCAAGCTGAGTCACCCATATATTTAGTGAACACACTTATGCTGATATGTATATCACATTTATTGCAATCATTGTAATATAAATGGAATATTCGTCAGAAGGGGATATGTAAGAAAACTTTCAGAAATTAATCACACTAGTTTGTAGCTAAATGGTAAAATGAAAAGGTTAACCTTCAATACTATGCACACCTATTTAGGAGTAAGTCTAATTGAATCTATTGGGACTTATTTGTATAAGCATGCAGATAGGCAAACAGAACATATTTGTTCTCTTTGGCATAACTAAATTTATATGTTCTCTATGTTTAGTTTCATTGTTTATGCAAAGCCATGACATACATTCGGATGTAACACTGGAATTCTGCCACAATTGGTTAAATAAATACCAGTATAGCATTGGATAAATGAGGAAGTTAGATCCAAACTAGCTACATTTATTCAGGACACATTTTGAAGGTAAGTAACTAAATTAAAAGCTTTGGAGGATCAGAAATAATTTCTATGAGCATATCCTTATTCCAGTTTAGCAAGTTTACAAAAACCTAAGTCTTGTCATGGCAAATGCTGACTTTGGAATTCAGGAAATGTTCAGTTAGGTATTACATGCAAGGAGGCTAAGAAATGCAGACATTCTTTAATCTAAATCAGAGTCTGGAAGCTTAGACAAAATAACTTTTAAATATGTCAATACTGAAAAATAAATAATCCCACTGGTAACATTTTTAGAAAATAGACTGAAAGCATGAAGTATTTAAAAAAATCAGTACTGTAGTTATGCTTGCAGGTATACAGAGTGCTTGCATATTTATGTAGTGAAACACTGCCTATAGAATTAGAAATATTGTATAAAAGATAAGAAATTCCTAGATAGGGAGGCACTTTACATGTCACTTACACCCTGGTCCCCTTATAGGAGGCTCATATTGAAGACCACCTGGAAGCTTCAACTGATCCACTATGTAAACCCAGGTAACACCTTTGCTTTACAAGCTATGCTAGTTGCCAGTTTGCTTCCAGGCACAGCTGAAGCTGCTGGTCATCACCTATAAAATCCTAATTAGCCCAGAACTGGTTATTTGAGGGACTAGTTGTCTCACATAGATTTAATCTAGTCGGGTGGTTTGCACACTCTGGGTTCCTTTGAGTAAACAATGCCAAATATTGTGACCCTAGAAGCACACCTTCTCGATGGGCAAAACCTGTCCTCGAGAATGAGGCTCCTCCATGAGATCTGAACGGGTTCCATCCTGTTGTTTTGAAAGGCCTTGTAGACCTGGCTCTATATTCAGGCCATTAGCAAGAGTGCTTGAAGCCTCTTTTTTTGGGATTGCGTGGGCCGGTTTCTTTTTCATTCCTGTACAATTTTTGTTATCTCTGCCATCTTTTGTTCTTGTTTTTGTTTGTTTGTTTTACTTGTGAACTCCCCAGGGTAATTGAGAGGCGTATAATTATTATAAATCACTCAAACTGTTCAAAAAGCAAAGTGCTAATACAAAATTATCAGAAGATGAAATGTTCATATAATGATGAATTGAAGAGGAAAATCTGTTATGATGTCAGACAATTAAGAGTCACTTATCACTGAGATGGTGGCATAGAAATGTAATAATAAATAAATTACTAAAATGCTTATGGGTACTTACAAATCATATCCTATGTATTCATCTTGAGCTAGGCTGCTGAGGATCCCGCACTCTCCATGAGATAAAAGAAACAGTGGCCAGAAGGCATACTTTTCCAGGGCAGCCCTCTTACTATGAAATAACTTGTCTCATTAAGTACAAGGAGATATTCTTTTTTGCCTTTCAAAAGGCAATTAAAACCATGCTGTTCCATCAAGCTTTTGCTATGGGTGGTGGATCTTGCTACTGTATTTTTTTAAAAAAATCTGTGTTAATATATTTTTATGAAGTTCTATTATAAACCCTACTGAGAGTTATATAAACAAACAAACAAACAAACAACTAGACCTTATGGCATGTTATTGACAGGATGCAGTGATGGCCAAAGGATTGTGCATTGTAAAGAAGGATTCAGTAACCCCTCCAGGAATCTGTCTCTCTGCAGCTATCTTAGAATGCTCAGAATCACTGTACAATTGAATCCAGTTTTTAGGGACAAAATAAGAAAGCTCACGTTTGTACCCTCCATATGATTTTACAGGAGGTCTTTTGATGGCTACAGTTGGAAATCAAGTGCTTGATTCAGACCTTTGGACTAATCTTTTTTTTTAATTATTATTTTTTTTAGTATTTTTGTTAGGATGAAAAGCCGTTTTTATGTATTAATCTGAACCATAATATATCTTATAAGACTTTATATAGTAAAGATAATAAAATTTGTGACTGTACCGTTACCTGAAGTCTGGCCAGAATACTGGCCTTCTTAGAGTTCGATGAGTAGCTTCTTGAGCAGGAAACACTGCAGAAGCGCTTGGTCTTGGAGTAAAAGGCATCTCTGACACCAACCATCCCGCACATTTCACAGGTAGCTAACGAGAAATATAATAAATGTAGGTTCAGTCTGCAGCTCACATAGAAGCTAGTACTATATCATCCACATACACATACCCTTTCCTTCAAGAATCATATTCAGCATTAATTGGTGTATTAATGTATTTATTTATTTATGAGACTTATATACCGCTTTAAGTGCAAGCATTCTCTAAGCGGTGTACACCAGTAAGCAATGTATATATATATTTACATTGCCCCCAACAATCTGGGTCCTCATTTTACCTACCCCGGAAGGATGGAAGGCTGAGTCAACCTTGAGCCGGTGAGATTTGAACCGCTGACCTGCTGAACACAGTTAGCTAAAGTGGCCTGCAGTACTGCAGTCTAACTGCTGCGCCACCTCGGCTCTTTATTTATTGTGTATTATTAATCTTGCAGATGCCAGATTAATTTCTTTCTTGACTTCACTACTTTCCTTGTAGACTTTAGACTCAGATAGTTATATTTCCGCTAGAGACTAGGCAATTGTTTGCAAACAAACATTTTCAAACAGTCAGATATTTTTGAATTTTCCAGATGTTATTTCCTGCAATGTAAGCAATCAGTTTTGTAATCTGCCTGTCGTGCTTACAGCATTGCTATAGCGTTTTCCTGAATTTATGGTGAAAATTAGTTTAAGCAGTGAAACAACATATATTACTACATAAATAATTATTATACTATTTATTCAATTTGTGTGGCTGTCCATCTCATTTAAGCGATGGTATACATAGTGCTTTTTGTGAACATCTATCAGCCACTGTATCTCATTTATGGCATTTCTGTCCTGCTCATTAAAGCAGCAAAACACACAATTTTTAAACAGCCTTTCTATGGGAAGTAAACCATAATATTAAACATTACATTTGCTAGGCATTATAGCTTTATTATCTCATAAAGTAAGAAGTAATATTTAGTTAGGATACTTAAATATAAAATAATAGAACAGTTTACTCTGCCACGAAATTATGCCCTGTTGTATAAAAGGTTGGTCACCGCACACACGTTTTAATAACCTGTCTTTCCATTTTTTCTAAATATAGATCAAAGCCAGCCAATAACCCCATCAGGCTTAATATATTTGTTTATATTCATTCACAAGGAAAAATGAAATCTGGACCGAGCTTAGAAAAAAATCAAAAGCAAAACATTTATGGTCCTGAGTTTCTTCATAAAGACTACTATGATTTGTTAACATTTTTAACGTGTTCAACATGAATCCATCTTCTTATGTCCAGATAAAATAATATATCAGAATTATCTTAATATCAGGCAAAGCCTAAATCAGTGATGGCGAAACTTTTAGAGACCGAGTACCCAAACCACAACCCAAAACCCCCTTATTTATTGCAAAGTGCCAGGGCCACATCAGCATTGTGGTTCCTTCAGAGAGGGTAGGGTGTGTGGCCCACTGGGTGGGTGTGGCCAGGGTGGTTACAGCAGACTGGGTAGGTGTGACCAGGTAGGCATGGCCACCTCGATGCTCTAACATCTCTACTCGAGCTTGCTAGCCGGCCGTTTTGCGTGCTTTGTGCTGGGCAGAGCTGCTGCTCCAGGCATCATTGGCGACCTAATGAACCTGCGCAAGCTGCTAGTGGCAACGGTGCGTGTGCCCATAGAGAGGGCTCTGAGTGCCGCCTCTGGCACGCATGCCATAGGTTTGCCACCACTGGCCTAAATGTTGTATAAAAATAAATGCATGTACATTTAGTAGTGCATTTGTATAATATTATGGTACGAACATTTTGATAGTAATTTAATGCTAACAAGGAATATTCCAGCATTAACAAACTTATCCTTTTTTTGTAACAGATACACAAATGCCACAATCTTTGGTTTCTAATAAGTAGAATGAACCTAAAGGCAGTGCTATTAGTAATCTGCTTGACTGAACACTCTGTTGAAAAATCTATAATATTTGCACTCACCCATGCCAGATTTGCCATCTGGATAAGTGTAAACCTGCCCATTGTTCTTGATTATCGGGAGATTGGAAGGTAAGGGAGAAACCTCTTCTTCACTTTCATCAGAACTAGAACTACTACTTGTATCCTCACTGCAGCTATCATAGCCATCGAACATCCCGAATGAATCACGTCTCTTCCTTTCTGACCTTGAAGGATGTTCAGTCTAAAATGAAGGGGAAAAAAAGCAGAAACCACTGAAGTATCTGAATAAAAAGATGTGGACAAAATATTGCAACAATTTAACAAGCTAATAGTAAACACACATGCCATTTCCTCTTTTAAGTGGCACTGTATATATAAACAATTTCAATTGTTAAAGCAACTCATTACGTAAACTGCAAAAACCTGTGACATGTTGTTCAGCTACAGTTTCCAGCATCCTTTATTATTGGGCTTATTGGCATTTGGAATTACATCTTAGAAATAGGAATTACATTTTAGTAATATCAGAAAGCTATACAATTCCCTCACCTAGAATAAGAAGAACAAACAAAACATTGCAAAAGTTATATTGAGAAAAAGAATCCATAATGTGGCTAGCATAAATTTTGTGTGTGGGTTTTAACCCAAGGAAATTATTCTCAATATAAAAAAATATTATTTTATTATTGATATCCTTTCTTCTACTGCAGATCTCAAAAGAAAGCAACAAAGGGCTTTGTTATAAATAAGGAAATGTATATAAAATATGGCATCAATTTAATATACTATAATATGATGGAGGCCCCTCATATTATAGCCTCTCCAGTCATCTCTTCTCCAAAATATCATAGAGAGGTTAATGAATCAAATCAGGTAAACTCTATAATGTGGCTGTGGGAGAAAACAAGTTCCTAAAAATTGGAATGAAATGAAAAAAATGGAAAAATGAAAAAAAAAATGTTCCTGATGCTCACAGATTCCCTTTTTCACTTAACTCCCAATACAAAATCTCTGGGATTCAATAGTTTATGATCCTTTGTGCTACATTTTTAGGTGGCTGAAAAGGCTTCCTGAGGGAGGAGGTCTACTTGCACTAGTCTTTTTGCCTCTTACTTTAAAAGATTTCAATTAATTCCTTTCCTCCAGGACAGCAAACAAGTCACTCTTGAAGTCATATGACAAAACTCCACAAGCTACCTTACTAAAACTGTGCCTAAACTCTTATTTTCTGTCATTTTCCCAGTGGTTTTTAAAAGAAAATTCTCTATTCCCACTAGAAATAAAGAAAAACAAACTCCAGAAAAGTTATCATTTATATTCTTCCAAATCTCTAGGGTTCTGATTCTGCTAATCACTAAATACTGCCAGCTTCTGAAATGTTTCTCTTTCAGAGAGTTTAAACTACTCTCATAAAGTTGACAATTTGCCATAGAAACATCACCATGGCAACTGACAGAATGAAAATGCAAGTATCACAAAACAAAACTTAAAAATTTGCACAAATGTGGGTTCCATGCATCACCAGAACTATTCAGAAAGATTTTTCCAGATATTCTAGAAACATCTTCATTCCGGATATTTCATATAGCAAAACAGCATAAAATAATATATAAGTGTAGAAATAAAAGGATATGTGGAATTGCATCCAGTAGTATCCACCACTGACAGAATGGTATCCACACATAAAATGAAATTGCTCCTGTTTTGTATTTCTCCATATCACATATTCATGTTTGTTTGGATTAACAGAGGCATAGTGAAAATAAGAGCTAGCAAATTCCATTAGTGAAGCACTGAATGAAATTGTTTTACAGATAAGAAAACTGGACCAGGAAGACCACAGCACAATTAACATTTTCACAAAACTAAGAACATTTCTTTTCCACACCTCTTGTCTAAATTCAACTTGAACAAACTAATCCTTTTGGAGCCCAAAATTATACAAGCTTTCATGAATTACATTTTGCTCCTGAAACAGATGCAACAGAAATCCTTCATCCAAATATTGATTACACTACTATAAAACTACTATTCTATATAATCACTCCAATTGTCATATGTAAATACTGAAAAGCTTTGAGACATGCTAGGTTCTTGCAATACTCCATATATCTGCTCCCCCTGCAGTCATTCAGTGGTATCTTCTGAAAGTGACCCTTCCATAAGAAAATCTGTACTGTACTGTACTGTATAAAATTGGAAAAATTATTGCTAATGGAAAACAGTACAATTCCATGTTCCCTCTTGTTTTATCTTGAATAGGTGCTTTTGGATCACTTGAACATTTTAAATATCGAAAACTTGGGTAGATTTTTCTATATTTAAATAATCATAGAAAGAATGCATTTGGGGGGAGGGCACCTAAAACAAGAAAATAATTCTTTGCACTGCTCAAATATCTTGAACTAAATAATTGATCACTTGACATGACTGGCAGCATCAAGAAGGCATTATTTGAACACTGATAAAATACAGTAATCCATTACTATGAAGCGAATCAATTTATAACTATTGTGTGTTTAGTACTGATTTTAAAGGCCTAATCCTGGAATGACTGAGACTTTATGTTATGATACACATAATAGTATCTTATAAATCTTCTGAATAAAAATTAGCTTTACAGACAATTATATCCTGGTATTAATTTCAATAAAATAAAATAATTTTAATAAACACAAACATACATACATTGTTTTCTCCATAGTAGTAGGCAGAAAAATCTTAAACTGAGTTATAAATTGAGATATAGGAAAGGAGATGAAATAACAGATTTGCTGCTTCATTAATAGCTTTATCAACTATGAAAAGATGGGAGAGGGAAATTATTTTACATTTTATTTAACAAGACTAGTTTTGGTGGTTTGTTATTAAATGTCCCTTTGGGTGGTCTACAGAAATCTTCAGTGGCTAACCTTAGGCTGAGAGTCTAGAATTGGGCTGTTTTTAATAGAAAATAGTGGTGAGCAGGAACTTCCATCCTACAGGCGCAAGAAAGATCTGTCCCTATCAAAATATGATACCTCCTGGAATATATCATTCACCACATAATAGTGTACCTATTTCTTAAACAGAAAAATATTCATGGCTTGTCCTTTACCATAACTAATCTATATTATAAAAAGGCAGTACGGTAGTTTAATTCTCACAGGTCCTCATTTGCATGATTTATTAGTACAACAGATTGTTTGAACTATGCTCTTTTACAGACTTACAACTTTATTAATTATCAAATATAAGCTATGCTTTAGATCAGGAATAAAACATATCCTAGTTGGTATTTAGCACATTCTGACTAAATTCACCATCTAAAATAAAAACGTAGTTTGTTTTGGCTTAAAATGACCTTGATAAACAAACTATGCCTAAAAGACCTTGGCTTAGCATTGCTTAGATGGCCACTATCAAAGATTTTCATTATGTTTCATAATCAATGAAACTTTTTTACAACTCCATCTTCTGAAAAATCTAAATGCATTATAAACATCTATGGAGTTAACTATAAATATAAATTTTGTTCATAACAATTTATATTAATCAGTTGATCAAGTATCCTGGAGACATTTATAATTGGAAAATGTTGATGAATTGTGTTTCAGAAAAATTAATTTCCCATTAATTTCTTATTGAAGATGACAAATTTACAAGACAAAATTCTTCCATGTTAAATATTTTGAAATACAGTGAGAATGGCCAGAATGGGAACATGTTAATAATCTGTGTTGAGTCTTTGAAAGAAAAAGAAACAGATATGCTTATAAATTCTTAGGCCGTTTGGAATAAGAAAAGGCATAAATGAACAGTTTACACATTCAACTGGTAAACAAGCTTACACTAAGCACTTAAATGAAAAAGCAAACTAGCTGAAGAAAATAAGAAAAAAATGTAGCTTAATGTCAACAAAACCAAGGTTACTTTGACCCATGTAAAAGAAAAGATGTTATACTTTTATGTAGCTGCCTTTTTCTACATACGTTAGAGAAATCTATTTCGACATATTGTATCTTGTCTAATGAATATCTTAAAAGTACATTATATAGAGCCATATATTGAATTCAGCATTAAATTGAATCTAGCAAATAAAATTCAGGAAACCCATTTTGCCCTTAAAAAGCTCTATATTTAACACATAATGAAACTAGCATATGGCCAACATATAATACATGTTTATTTGACCATTTCCTTCTAATGTCCAATATTTATATTTTAAAAGTGATATATTGTAGTTCGGGTCATTTTAAAATTAATTTAGTTGTACATGAACCTAGGCCTTCCTCATTTATTTAGTTTAAAAGTTTAAAAAACACTGAATTAGTCCTCCTAAATTATTAGGTTTCTCTTTTCCCTAATAGCCATATTATCCACAGATTGTGACGTTCAAATCATTTTACAAACCCTTTTTTTCCCCCCCTTCGCATTCTCTGGGTGCCACTTTGTTTTCCCAAATAACAGGTAAATCAAATAAAGCACAGGAAAAATGTAACTGGCTGTTATTTGTTTAGCACTGTGTACATTTCCCTCCAAAGCATGTTTGCCGCAAATGTTACACATGGCCAAACAGCCTATATACCTTCCTTAGGACCGCCTCCACTTCCTCCTCTCCTACCACTTTCTGACCATAAACTGCTGCTGCTCATGCAGCTACCACAAAAGAAAGGAACTGCTCTGTTCAGTACACAAGGGCTCTTGTACAACGAGAGAGAGAGAGAAAACCCTCTAAGTTATAAACCTTCTGACGGCATTTACACAGGGTAAACAACTTCACCAGGGCTTGTTTTTGTTTTGTTTCTGCCTTTGGAGAAAACAGGCAATATGCCCCCAGGCTGTTCGGGTAAGTTAGCAGCTCAACGTTGTGCAAACCCGGAAAATGGGTTAAAATGCTGCACCCAGCCTACTACGAGCACCGAACCAACCGAAAGGAAACCTGGCGGGGCGAAAGACTTTTTCTCAAAAAAAAAAAAAAAAAGTGGAGGAGCGGAGAAGCCACCCAGCCTGGGGGGAGGGTGACCGAGTTTCTTCCCGACTCCCCCCGCTCTTGGGTCCCTCTCTTCTCAGGGGGGGGGAAGAGACGCTGCCCTGACACTCTCGGCCCGGGACGGAGTAGGTGCCGAGGCGCCCGGCAGCTCGCCCTCTCCTCCCAACGGCCGGACCTCTGCCGCGGGTCCTGCCCACGCCGCGCTGCCCCTTCGCCGGGGCTCGCGGGAGCTCCACTTACCAGATCCTTTGTGTTTTCCATCAGGCCCTCATGGGCAGAGGATGCCTCCGACCGTCCCCGCTCTCCACCCCCCGCCCGCCCCTTCGGCTCAGCCCCCTCCCCTTTCCGAGGGGCAGGGCCAGGGTGGAGAAAGGAGACCGTTCAGCCTCCCACTTCTGCGAGAGAACCCGGGGAGCGAGAGAAAAAAACAGTCCACTCTAAGCTCCAGAATATCAACAACATTAGCATAACTGGATCGCGCCTGCGCAGAACGGCCCCCCTCCAGGGCGCGTCCTTATTGGCTGCCCCGCTGTTTGGGTCGTCCTCCCTCGCAGGACGGTACTGGCGACGTCATCTATGATGCGGAAGTGGGTGAGGAAGCAGGCGGGGGGGGGAGTTCGGAGGCGGTTAAATCGCGGGATTAAGGAGCGGCGTTGGCTAACTCGAAATGTGCGTCCGAGATGCAGATGGGCTTTCATAACCTCAGAAGAAATGGCGCAAACCCCCCTCCCATAACCTCACGAGCAATGGCGCAACCCTTTGAATCTTTTGAAGGGGAAAAAAAATGGGGGAGTCTGAATTGAAAAATGGATATCACGTGAGAAGAGGGCGGAGCTCGGGGAGTCACGTGAGACGGCGTCTCAAGAGAAATTAATTCAGAAGCGTAAAGAGTTGTCCAAATTATACACTTCCGAGCCTATTTTGAACGCTACTATGTACGGGAAGGAAGAAGCAGAATGCGCAAGAGGGGTCCAGTTCCTCGGTTCAACTTCTTTCAAAAGCCCCTGAAACAGCGCCCCAGCGGCAGGCAGCGTTTTGCATAAGTGTATTTATGCTGGGGGGCAACTCATCCGAAAAAGACTTCCGGTTCCTGCAAGAAAAGGAAATGGACATTTCACGTCCGGTTCGCGTTTCCCCTATGAGGAGAAAGCATGGAGGCGAAAGTTGCACTTCATTCCGGCAAGATGCCGACTCGAAAAAGACTTCGAGTGGGAGAGCGTCGGCGTGAAGAAACCGTATCTGAAGAGGACGACCGCCGAACTCACCACTTGGCTCTTCTGGCGGAAAAGCCGGCCTCCGAGCGTGGCCTGGAGGAGCTGGTCTTTGGCGATGTGGAGGAAGATGAAGGTCTGCTGCGGCGTTTTCAAACCTCGGGCACCCAGGTAACGGGACAGAGGCCTTGCCCTTTCTCACATTATAGCCGAGCTTTGCTATTTCTGTGTTGTTCCCAAAACTGGGTCTAAGCTTGGTGTTGAAGCCAACTGATCACTAAACCCAAGATGTGGAAAAAAACCTTTCATTTTTGGTATCAAGAAATAAAAGTGATCTCGGCTTTGAAAGCCACCAAGGCCCCGATTACAGTCTTACAGCAGTTTTTATAATCCAAGGTGATTCTCATACACCCCTTTGCCCTCCCCCCCCATAAGACACGCATAACATATAATATTGATTGGTTGCCTGGATTGCAGCCCCCTACTTAAAGCTTTCTAGCTTGCTATGCAAAATAGCTAAATGTCACGCCACCTTAGGTCACAGGAATCTTGCAAAGCTTCTTGTTTCCTGTGCCAACTATATGGTTTTAATATTTCTTGTGAGCTTAATATCCTGGCTAAGTGGTTAAACCTGTGAATCTATCTCACTTCATTGTCCCTGCAGCTCCCCCATCCCCCGCAGCCCTCCTAACATGTCAACTGTTAGCAAGCTTATACTGCAAATTCCTCAATGAGCAGAAAGGAAAAGCTGTCAAAGAAAAAGTTATTTAAGCGTAAATGTTTCTTGTCAGAATTCCTCACTCCCATGTCCATCACAACCACACCTGGGTCCTATCTCCACATATGACCCTTCTTCTGATCCCCAGGGCCTCATCTGCACGTACATTCTTTCATCTGACCCTTCATCTGTCCTCCCCTTTTTTTCAACCTATTTCTCTAAAACTGTATTTTTTACACTTGGCAACTGGGAGTTGAGGTCCACGCATAAAAAAATTGCCCAAGTTTGAAAAACACTGCCCTAAAATTTGTGTGTGTGTGTGCAAGCAGGGATTCAACAGGTAGCTCTTTCTTTATATGAAATGGAGCGATAATCCGCAGAGCATCAAAATATTTTAATGCTGCTGTTGTACTTTGAAGGTTATTTCTCCATTTACTTACTCCTTGTTAACACTGATGATGTTACCTCGTTTGAGTATTGAAACGTCTAAAAGAAAACCAAGCTCAGGGAGCACCAAGGACCCCTCAATTTCTCCATTTAGCCTAATAGTTAGTCCCTAACCTTCTGCACTTGAGTTGTGTTACATGTGAGGAAGAGGTAAAAGTGTGAATGGAATGTTCTATTTATCCTGGGAGAGAGTGTTGATTTTTGAAAAAAAAAATAGTGGTTTAGTAAATCAAGAGAAATGAAATAAACTTAATTCCTCTGTGCTGTTTCATTTAGGGATACAGAATACAGGTAGTCCTCAACCTATGGCCACAATTGAGCCCAAAATTTCCATTTCTAAACAAGACGTTGTTAAGTGAGTTGCCCCATTATCACTTCTTTGCCACAGTTAGATGAATCACTGCAGTTGTTAAGTGAATCATTTGGTTGTTAAGCGAATGTAGCTTTTCCCATTGACTTGGCTTGTGGGAGCCGGCAGGGAAGGTTACAAATGGTGATCACATGACCCCAGGACAGTGCAGCTATCATAAATACATGCCATTTGCCAAGTGCCTGAATTTTGATCATGTAATTGGGACTGGCATGTCCATTACTGAGTGATGCAACTGTAAAGCATGATGTCAAATGACTACTTTGCTTAGCTACATCAAAAATAGATTAAAAAGCGTTTAAACTTTCTGCTTTCAAGTTTTCCTTTTAAACAGTTTTGCTTTAAAAATTGTAGGGTGGTAATGTGGTTGGCAGTAACTTTGGAGAAGAATCTGGTGATTCTGAAGCGGAGATTGATACAGAAGACAACTTCCTTCCACTGAAAAAGCCAGTATGGGTAGATGAAGATGATGAAGCTGAAGAAATGTATGCAATACTCAGTAAATTGATTTCAGTCAAATGATGTCATAAGCAAATTATATTTGCACTTTCCTTTAATATATTTAAATATATTGGGGTGTAAATGTTTTAACTAACTTTTTTAACTTTTCAATTTAAGAATTGATTTTAATGCCTTCTTCGCATTTTTAAAAATATTGCCCAATTACTCTCTTTCACTTTGGTATTCTTGTTATTAATCAAATAATATTAAATGTGAATACAGACTGCTGTTTGCATTATATACACTGACTTTTTCCATTTATGCCTTTCCTCCAGTGAGCAAAATACGTTATATAATTGCCTCGCTATCCTTCTTATTCTAACGGTAGCCAGATGAAATTAGCTAAACTGTGTGGAAAACTGTTTAGTGAATTTGTGTGTTGAGATCTGAATCTTTACTTATGTCTGGTACTTCAGCCACAATGAAATATTAATATAGGATCTATACAGTATTATAGATTTTCTCAACTTACTCACCCCGGCCCTGCTGAGAATTTTGGGAGTTGTAATCCTGACATCTGGAGGATACCTGGTTAAAGAAATCTGATCTAATATATAATAACAATATTTTATTTGTCACATTTTTATATAGTTTAACAATCATACTGCTCCGGACATGTTCAAATCTATTAAAATATATATCATAAGGATAAATAGAATAATGATAAAGGCAATGATAATATGATTGTCATGCACTACATCATTAAGCCATTTAAAATTTTAGAAAAATCTTGGAATAACGTACAGAAAATCATTTCCATAGTATTGCCAAAATTTGCCTGGATGTGTTAGTTCAAAGGAGTGAAATTTGGAATCTTTACCTTTTAAATATATTAATATGAATAAATAGTCAAGTGAATGAATTTAGTATATGTTTTTTTCCCCCAGAATTGACATGACACATCGGCATCGGAAAAACATGATGAAAAGTGATGCTGAAAATAAGCTTTCGAAAACAAAACTTCAAAGAAGATTTCAAGAAGAGTATGTTTTATTGGTAACATAAGTTATTTTATATAATGCTATCTTTGGAGATTTTATTTCAGTTACAGTCTGAAATATTTGTGTTGAATGCAAGAAGTAGCAACACTTTTTTTGCCTACTAAACATGGTTTTTGTACACATTTTCTTACAATCATCAACATGAAAATCAGTTTATATATCATCATTTTAGCCATTGTCTATCCACTGCCGGATGAAGACTTCTTCCACATTCCTAATAAAAGATTCAGTGATACAAAGTCAAATTTGTAGAATTCAGAATGTATACACCATGTACTATACAAAGTTCTATATAAGTTCAAGTGTGCTATCATTCATTTAAATAATTCTTCCATCACAGCATGTGGCTGGGAGGCGCAGGGAAGAAAGATCATATATTGCTAGGTAACAATGGTCACCCATTTCTTGCCTTTTGTCCCTCACTTTATCTGCTGCTCATTCTCTGTTTCCTCATATTTTGCTGACTGTAACATTAATTACAAATTTTTGACTTATCCTTATTTGACAAAGGCTACTTTGTCTTTAGTAATAATACTTCTTTACAGGTTTCAAGGTGCTATGGGAACAACTCCTTCTTGGGCACTGAGAGGCATGAAGAACAAAACCAAAAGGAAAACTGAACACAAAGGTAACTGAAGCTAGTCTTTGATCGCCTTTATAAATAGAAGATGCAGTCTTGTGCAAACTTACTGTGTGAGATATCTAAGCACAGATTATTAATTATTGACAAGGACTTCCTCTGCTTAAGGTGACACTGAGGATGAAGAGGATGATGATCTGTTGCACAAGACAGGCAATTTTGTGATCGCGTCAGACTCTTTACCAAAAGGCATTTTACAGGTAAATAAAATTTACTGCATTTTTATTTATTACTGTTCTAGCAAGCTTATAAATGGGAAATGGTAAATATGGGGGCATTGAAGATTTGTGAATGTTGTCCTAATGCTACTGATGCCATTGTTATATCTTGAATATATTGTTAAGTCTAAGTGTAATATAGTTACATGGAACTTCAGCATTGAAGGAGAACTTTTTGCATCATGTTCATCAGCTC